TATATATATATATGTGCATGTGTGTGTTATATGTACACACAAAAATACAGACAGATAGATATTCATTATTTGCGTGGAGTGAATAAAATATTTAAACACTACTACCTGCTCACCAAAAGCAATTGTTCTGTAAAACAACCAATTTGATACCTCTTTCAAGGACTCTTAATAAAATTAGTTATGTAAAGTCTAATTATTCCAGGATATATGAAGAACCATGTCTACTTCAAATCACTACAAAAATATCTGTGATAATTGCTGCATTGGTAAACTTTTTTTTGTAACATTCTTAATAAAATAATATGATATCTAAACAGCAAAAAAAAAAGTATACACAAAGGCTAAATTGTGTTCCTCAGTTGACAACACATTTTAACCACATCTCTACCCAATAGCTATTGCTTAAAATTTAGGATTCGAAAATACCAACCAAAAAGAGATATCCAAATGCATTAGAGTACAAAAAGTATGTGACTCAATTTACCAGAATGAACCTTAAGCTGATTCAAAAACAATGAAATTGATGGGAATATATGGAGTAGATGTAGTCTATGTAAAAATCCTCAAGAAGAAATAAGTAATTTGGAAGCAGGTAACTTCATCCATGAAACAAGAACAATACAGAAGTTTTAATTTCTGCTTAATTAATGCTCCTAAATTACACATTACTCACACACACACACAGTCATATCTAGGTATTTCTATTGTCTCTATATGTTTATATAGCAATCTGTACATATCTATCATCTCTACATCTATTCCCATATCCATATCTGTTTCTATTTCTATCTGTTATCTTTATATCTATGTTTATATCCACAACCACATCTACATCTATCTTCCATCTTACCTGTTGACCACATGGAAGCCAAATCAAAAAACTTCCTAGAAGGTCCCTCCTGACAAAGTGACCCATAATTCTTACTAAAGATTGTCTATGAGGCTAAATAATACAATTCAATGACTAGCTCTAAACTGCTCTTATCGGTGAGATGGCTGACCTGCACAGGTAGAAGCAGCTTCATCATTGATAAGTCAGATTCTGTCTGGCAAGGAAACTATTCCAGGTATAAATAAGACATAAATAAGTCCTTTAGAGTAAGTACACACTAGCCATTTCAGGACACTAAAGGATAAATTAATCTAAGAAATCAAACCCATTTAACCTATGCACTGTCAAAATCTGAACCAATATATATGTAGTAAAAATAAATTGAATCAAAATAGACTGGATTACCAAGGATGGATTTAAATATTTCCTTGTTGTACTGACTGACTTCCCTTTTGTCTAAAATCTGGCTTTTGATTTTAACTGAAAATAGATTATTCGAGAAAAAGGTAACCCCCAAAGACTAGGGAAGACTGAGGCAAGACACCAATCCAAATGACATATTTATGATTGAGGAAGTCTTCATCATCAGACCTCTGGGGAGGGGGTGGACAGTAAAGGAACGTCGTCATCAGGGAATTAGATCCTAGGTTATTAGCATGTTTATTCCACCTTAACAACACAAACTCCTAAGGAGAAAAAATTATTGCTTTCTCTTCTCTTTTTTTTCCCAAGTCCTCTACACTCATTCACTTCTTAGTCTTTTTAATGTAATTTCCAATCTTAATTATCACCTGAAATTGCTGTTTTCCAAAGTAACCACTCAGCAAATCTAATGGCCTTTTTTTTTCATTCTTCATCATCTTTCATTTCTGCAGCATTCACTGTTGTAGGCCAAATTCTCCTCCTTGGTAGGCTTGCCTCACTGGGTTTTAGTGACATTGACAGCTTTTGATTCTCCTTCTATCAGTCTGACCACTCCTCAGGCTTCTTTGCTAGATGATCATATATATAACACCTTAACTGTGGGTATACAGTGAGACTCTGTCCTAGACTTTCTTTTATTTTTCTTAGCATACACTGCTGCTACATTCTTTTACTGTTGTTCTCCCTTACTGAATAATTACCATCTCAAGGCAGAGTACTCCCAGCTCTATACAGCTTTATTTTCTCTCCTGAATTCTAGCTATGTATCACCTTGGAAACATACACTAGGCAACACCATTTTAACCAAACAGACCTCTCTTCTTTCTGTCGAAGGCATTACCTTTTTTGTCACCCAAATTTCAAGTGAAGAGCCATAACTATTTATTATTTCAGATGTATCTTTGAGGTCCAGTACTACTTCTTTTTTGTCTCTGTATTTTTTAAACACTAGGACAGCTAGGTGACACAGTGGATTGAGGTCCAGCTCTGTAGTCTAGAGGACCTGAGTTCAAATTTGACTTCAAACATTTACTAGCTGTGTGACACTGGGCAAGTCACTTAATCCTGTTTGCATCAGTTTCCTGCTATAACTTAGCTTCATCATTGATAAGTCAGATTGACTTATCACAGATGACTCAGCAACAGCAAATCTTTAAGCACTAACACATTACCTTTTGCATACCAATGCTTCATGTTTTGCATTTGGAATAGTCTCCAATTGTTCTTCCAGACCCAAATGTTTTCCCTCTTTAAGCTATCCTCTACACAAATATGTGTGGAGTGCTTATCCCTAGGTGTAGGTGTGACCCTTTCATTCCTGTATGCCTTCTAGGTTAATACATTAATTCTTCTCTTTGGTGTTTACAACCCTTCACTTCTTGGTTCCAACCAATCTTGGAAGTAATATGTATTCACACATCCTGTGGTCAATACAAAGGAGCCTTCTTGCTGCTCCTCACATAGGAGATTCAATCTCCTATCTCTAGTACTGCACAGGCTGTTCACCACAACTGGACATGCCTCCACTCCTCAAAAGCCTGAGGCATCTTGAAAACTCAGTCTAAATGCCACTTTCTATATGAATATTTTCTTCATACTGCAGACTACTAAGTCCTTCCTACCCCTAGATTACCCTAAGTTTCTGATTGACCTACTTTAAACTTCCTCTTCTGTACAATTGATTTAATATTAGCTTTATGTATCTTAGTCCAGTCCCCCCCTTTTTTTTTTCTCTTTTCTGTGGTTCAAGCTTAGAAATTACAATTGATTGACAGAAATAATGTCAAACGAAAGTGATGCCAAGTAGTAGGAGTAACCCTATAACTCAAAATATGAGGCCTGTTCTCATCATACTTAGTTCTGACCTCTAAGACTACGCTATTCTATTTCTGGTTTTATGAGACTCCCAACATCATTCTGGTTGCCAGCTATCCTTAGGAACCCTAAACCTTGCACTCCAGCCTTTCTTTGCAGTGGCCTGCTGTCCATGGAGGCACCAGCATCTGACAGTTTATCTGCTTGTGAATTGTGTTTATGCTTTTTCGATTTGGTGTTTCAGATGTCTTGTACTCTCATTACTCATTCTTTGCTCTACACCCTTCAACTGATGAACAGATACCAGAGGATTAGTGTCTTAATTTTAACTTAGCCCCCTCAAACTGAGAAATACAGGCCCTGATGGGGCTGGATACTGAACTTGGGTAATACACAGGGGGAAAAATGGGCCTCAAGTTCTATTTCATGTTCTGTCTAGCCTAAAATTTTGTTCCCCTTTAGTTTTAGAATTGTATATACACACGTATATACATACACATGTACATATACAAATATGAACACATGTACATGTATGCACACATATATACATACTTATATACATATATGCATACAAACACATAGACTCATATGTGCATACATATTCAGCCCTAACCAATTTCTTCATCCTTAGCATCCTTCTTTTCTTTGTGTGCTTGAAGAAAATTAGCCACTTCTTGGGTGAGGAAAGAAGGTGGTAAGGGAGGGATTGGTTGTCATCACTGCTAAGGTTCAGTGTCACAAATCTAAAGGGTTGCTTGGGCTTACTCTAGTGGAGAAGTCTGGGGGCAGGAATGCTGAATGAGATTTAAAAGAACTGAATTTCTTCTGGAACACGTTATTTCTAAAGGATTTTAAACTTGCATGTGGTATAGAGCACTCTGTCTTCTTATTTTGTTGACAGAGCTATACTTACTTTTTATCTAGCACATAATTATTTTCTTTTCAACAGAGGCAGTTAAATGGTATGGTGAATAGAGCTCTGAGTCTGGAGGGTAGAAGACCTGAGTTCAAATCAATCTTCCGACACTGTGTGACTCTGGGCAAATCGCTTAACCTCTGTTTGCCTCAGTTTTCTCAATTATAAAATGGGGATAATGATAGTGCTTACCTCCCATGGATGATGTGAAAATCAAATGACATATCTTTAAAATGCTTAGCACACTGTCTGACATTTAGTAATCGTTTTGAGGTTATAAAGATGAAGAGATTTATTTTTCAATCTGTTTTCATGACTTTTTGTGACCCCATGTGGAGTTTTCTTGGCAAAGATAACGGAGTGGTTTGCCATTTCCTTCTCCAGCATATTTTATAAATGAGGAAATGGAGGCAAATAGGGTTAAGTGACTTGTCCAGGGTCACACAGACAGTAAGAGTCTGAGGGCATATTTGAACTCTGGAAGGTTGTACTTTCTGATTCCAGGCCCAGTGTTCTATGGACTGTACCACTTATCCACTGAACCCCCTAACTGCTGCAAGAGGTTTGTAGAAAAGTATTCTTCCAGCTTGCTGGTTAGGTAAAACTTTGTATTTAGAAGCATCTCTTCTATCCATTTTCATTCATCTTAGTGAGAAGAATAATCAGTGTACTCAGCTCTCCGCCAGTGTCTTTGGAGAGGAAAAAGAAGGAAAATGATACGTCTGTCCTAAGAGAGTTTACTGTTTAGTTGAGGACATAGGCTTGCACATTTGAAACAACTGGAGAACAGAAGCAATGGAATGTTAATATATGCTGTATACATTGTGCAGCAAAGTAAGGGAGGCATCAGCATCCAGTCAAGTTAGTTGAGGAAAACAAATGCAAAGAAAAGTCAAGACATAGCTGATAAATAACTAGTTATCCAAGAAATAGGTTTATTTTACTTCCCTGCAAAATGTGTGTGGTGCTGTCAACACTCAATTTTTCAAGGGCTAATTATCCAGGGCCAATGTGGGTTTTTTTCATCTCTTCTGCTTAACCTTTTGGTCATTTCACTGCTCATTTCACTGCTCATTTGCACAGTCACTAGAGAATAAACAGAGGAAAGAATAGGTCATTTTTGTTGGTAGGTTTCTGAGGGTTTTTTTCCAGTTCAATTTAAAGAGTTGATGAAGGAACAGGGAGAAAAAAGCAACTAAAAGGAGGGTTTTGGATTATTTGTGGAAGAAAGCATTTGTACAAATTTTTAACATAAATTTTATTATTCTTGTGAACATTAATTTCTGCATTGCCTTTGTCAATGAGAAATAATGGTACATAGTGGATCGAGAATTTCCTTGGAATGAGGAAGACATGGATTTAAATTCTTCTCCCAACATATGCTGACCTTGACATTTACTGACCAGTGAAATCATTTAACCTCTCCTTGCTACATTCTAAGTCAAATTAAACAGAAGTTGCTGAAGGTAATTTCAACACTGGGAATTCCCTAAAATAATGAAATCATAGCACTGAAACAATCAATGTAGCAGAATCTATACAGAACTGTTATCTCTTTCTCAAGCTCTCTCTTGGAGAAGAAAATGGCAAATCATGCCAGCATCTTTGCCAAGACAATCCTCCGAATGGGTGACAGAGTTGGGTGTGACTGAAACAACTAAGCAGCAACAATCTCTTCTCTCTCTCTCTCTCTCTCTCTCTCTCTCTCTCTCTCTTCTCTCTCTCTCCCCATATATTGAAATAGATAGACATAGATTTATATATATATATATATATATATATGTATATGTATATATATATACATATATATATGTATGTATATATATATGTGTATATATATATATATACATATATATATATGTATATATATATATATGTAAATGTGTTAGTTTTGGTATGTAATGTATGGTTTTCCCAAATATCTGTACTATATATTATTTTAAATCATAATATCTGTATGGTATATGAGGTGTATTATGCTATTTTCTGAGAATGCTAAGGCAATTACCTGACTGAAAGTTACTTGACTGAAATCTAAAATCTTCCAAAAATTATCATAGTAGGATTGTTGCTTTCATATGGGAGTGGCCCATTGACAATAATTAATTGTCCAATAAATTTCAATATATGTGTGTTTCAATGCATATATGAATGTTAGAATGTAAGCACCTTATGTATGTAGGGATTATTTTGTTCATTATGTTTGTATCTCCAGCATGTAGCACAGTACTTACCACATGGAAGACATTTAATATTTGTTGATTTTCTATGTATATGCATGCTTTACACACACACATATGTGTGTGTGTGTATGTACAGATGTATATGATTTATATATGTACATGTATGTATATGTGTATGTCCACTTTCCTATCCACATAGCTAAATGAAACAATGGTCCTGGTGCTTCTTACCCTACCTCAGTGACAAACTGAAGCAATTAAACAAAAGCCTAGAAGCATGCTGTGTGCTGTAGAAATAATTGCAAGATAATACATAGCACTATGACAAAATACAAAATTTTAAAGAATAGCTAATGAAATAGATTCACCTGCTTCCTAGAAACATAGAACAAAATCATTATGGTCCACTTCCTAAGACAAATGACAATGCTACAAATGGGATTCTCTATCTGAGATGATTTTCAAATAATATTGAGATGCAATTGGAAATTTTTTCAATGTGGTATGTAAAACAATTTGCAAATTGCAATGAAGAGCCATATGTATACATATTCACTCATAGCAGACCAAAAGTAAATTTGGATAAGTCAGATTTTCTGATCACCTTTGTATTATCCATAAAGTTTGTTTGTATTTGTTTGCATGTTATCTCCCCTATTAAATTAGAAGGTCCTTGTTACATCTTTTTGTATCCCTAGTATTTAGTGCCTGGAACATAGCAGACACTTTATAAATATTGATTGGTTGATTGATCATTAAACAGATAGTTTACTTGCATGCTACTCCTCTCCTAATAAATAATCATGTAGCTGGCTGGTTTCAGCATTTTTAAAACGGTCTTTTGCCTCAGGCTTAAGGCAGAAAATATTTCTTAAACATGTTATAATTTTTTCCTCCTGAACCCTTGAAAACACATTTGAATGCCATAATAGTTTTGAAAGGATATATATGCATCCATATATATCCACATGTAAAATATGGAAATATATCTACTTAAAATTGTGTGTATTATTGTAAATACACATACATGTAGATGCACTAACGTATGCATCCACATACATATCTCAATGTATTATTGACTTTATCTTCTAGCTCTAAATCTATGATTCTAGGAATTTAAACCTCCATCTGACTCCACAAATCAAACATTACTTCCCTTGCCTCCACTTCCCTATAAGTGCTATCTCCCCTATTAAAATTTAAGCTTTTTGAGGTAAAATATAACCTTATTAATGTATTTGTATCTCCAACACTTAGCATAATGACTGAAAAAGAAACACTTGATAAATGCTTTTTTTTCCCATCCATTCATTATGCCTTAGTCTTAGAATGAATGATCAAAAAGCATCTATAGTCTAACTGGTGCCGGGAGCGCCTGCGTCCCCGGCTGTGGTCTGATGCCCGGCAGAGTATGAAGAGAGAAAGAATCACAGGCCAGGTGAGAGCAGTGAAGAACAAACTCTGTTTATTGATCTGAGGGCTCAGGCTTATATAGTATTGGATCAAACAATAGTAACATTATTATTCATGAAAAGTACAAATCTAATTAAGTGATTTCCTTACTTCCTTGTACCTTGTCTGCTACATTCTTTTCTGTGTCCTGTCCTGTACCCGATCTGTTTCCTCCCTTCCTGCATCCTGTTCTCAAGAGATGGAACAGGGGGGTGGTGAGCCGACATCCTGAGTTTCACAGCTGTCAGTCTTAGTACAAGCTGCAGGTAAGACCCGGGCTGGCCTAAGCCCTCCAACTCCCCAAAACCGGCCCTCTACAAACTGGGACCTACAATAGCCAATACTTTCCCCAAGGATCTGAATAACAATTCTCTCCTGACTGAGGGACTATTGTGGGCAAGTCTGGAACAGAGCAAATAGATTTCACTTCATTTTTGGAAAAAAATAAGTAAATTAAACACAACAACAGAAATAGTATACTTTAGTGATATAATCTTCCCAACACTTTCTCTATATAAACAGTGCAGAAGAACATTCATTCTATGAAATAGCATCATTAAGTTGAAGCCAGGTCCTTAGAAATAATAACCAGAAAAAGACAGAAGGCATCTACTGGTACTAATAATAGAGGTAAGTGATTCATCTCTATCTGACTTTCCTGTTATGAAGAATCGTCCTTGCCCCTTATTGTAGTTTTACTGTGGGTATAGCACAATCAGCTGTGGTCAGACTCACAGTACACATTCCCCAAATGTTCAATGGAGATTCAAAGGTGGCTGGTATCCTGTGCAGTTGTGTGACATCTGTAGCCAAGGTTTTAACATCATTCTCTTCTTGGTATCATAATGGTCTTTTTGATTTGCCAACAACTATAATCATGCTCCAGACATTGTAATGAGATCATAAAAATGCCAGATCAGAGATAGCTGTTTGTTCATTCAAATGTTTGTGCAAATCTGCTATCATTATGAAACCATGGCCAAAGTCAAAACCAAAATAAATAAATAAACAAATCAGCAAATAAATAAATAAATAATGGAAAAATATAAAAAGAAAACTTTATTGTCCTTGTTCAGACAGCCAATCATCTACCATGTATCATATTCTTAAGTGCATTTATATACTTTACAAGTACATTGGGAAAACAACCATACCCTGTTTTGCTTTTAAAAATCTATCCATTTTACTGCTATTTCAAGCATAGCACAATGTGAAAATATTCATTGAGGGACTTAACTTTTGCAATTAATTTTCTCAGTTCACATATACTGTTATGCATGAGACAATTGAAAATTGAGATAGGAACTAACATTTAGAAATGAAAGATCTTTCTAGAATCTTATAATTAATTTCAATGCAATTGCCATATGGACAAATATTGATTTCCCCCCCAAGATTGGGACCATTAGCATTCAAAGAGCTATCAATATTTGTGTTTTCTTCAATAACATTTTAGAGCCCTTACCTGAATTTTAAAACACATGCTTTCTATTAAAAATGTCAAATCTGTAATTTTATTTTCTTTATGGAGCAAAATTCTCTTAAATTCACAGTGAAGCTTTCCATTGGATATTTATTTTCTTTCTCTGATGCCAATGACTCTAAAGTTGATTTTAAAATAAAATACACCATGGATCATAGAAATTTGAGAAAAATAGTGTGCATTGCAGACAGTTTTTTTTTTCTTTTGTTCTTTCACGCCTTATTTTTTAAATAGAGGATGTTAAATGAATATATATGTTCCAGGCTATTTTGAAGACAACCTTGTATGAGTGCTGCCTTCTCATGTGTCCTAAGATTTTCTAAAAGTCTTGGTCCTTAGAGATTTCAACTTCATGAATTAATATTAGTGTTAATGAGCTGCATAAAAACAACCAAATCTAATTTGATGCTGCATATATAAATACAACTTTAGTCTTTCTTTACATAGTGGCAAGTAAAAGGGAAATTTGGCAACTATCTCTTTCATTTCATCTGTGCAGACAATCAAATCAGATGATTCAGGGCTAAAAGAAATAGAGTTGGATGATTATCAGTATTTTATAGAATATGATATTTAAGCACTGCCATACTATGAATATAATAACATTTTTATATGAATAACAACTCATATTTCTAGAGCACTTTAAGTTACATGAAATGGTTTTCTTAAAAGAACCCTGTGAGGTAGTTAGCACAAAAATGATTATTCCTATTTTATAGTTAAGGAATGTACAGTTCCAAGATTGAAATCACTTGCACATGGTCTCACAGAAAGTATTGTGCTGGGATTTGAACCCAGGTCTTCTCGCTGAAGGTCATGAATATTCAACAAATTCCCAATGGAGCATATATTTCTTAATAAAGTGCCCTTTATACCTCACCTTATATGTGAGTGCTCTCCAAAGAACTTGCAGACAAATTGAGTCTTGATTCTTACAACACTATAGGAGTAGAAAGGGCAAGTATTGT